CATGGCGGTTGGATCAAATGATTGGTATTTACCACACAATATGAATCAACTTGAATCGGCGATGTTGAGAAGCCTCCTGTGAGAGCTGATTGACACAGCGGTGAAAAACACACACAAGCACACGTTCTGTGTGAGGGCTCCGGGGTTTATTGCTAAAACAGTCCAGCGTAGATGTGCTGCTGAGAACCTCCAGTGAGTGTGATTCAGTTCTGAAGCTCTAGGGGTGCATAACTGGCTAGATAAACTGAGAAGTTTGCGCTCAGCTGAAGTCCAAAGGATGACCAATCGAAATCAAAGGCCATCATGCGCTCGTAATCCCAACACCCGTTGATCATAAACCAAAAAGAGCAAAGCAGCAAAAGGATTAGGAAGGCCTGTATATTTGTTGTGGGTTGAGAATGGCAAATTGTTACTCCAACCATGCAGCTCCCTTGTTTTGTAGATCGGTTATTCACAGCAAACGTATTTTATACTACAATAAAAAGACAATTACACATTCCATTGTCAATAAGTGATCTGTGATGGATCAAAAGGTGTTGAGGAGGGCAAACGTATTTATAGTGTCAGACGACCAATGAGAAGGTTTCAACGCACAAACCTCTCGGGGTGACATGACTACATTGAAATCCCTTTTACCGGTTCAAATTTATGCAAATTGCAGTTTTGCCAAAGCTCAATAATGGCTTGTATTATTCCGTAACCATTGCTCATGCCAGTTTTTTCAAAGAGGACACAAATGGATGTCTATGGTGAGCCCAGTCTACGAGGTAACACACCCTGAAGAGACTCGTTACAGTTTTCGGGCAACCGTGATCAATCCAGCTTCACGAGTGACATCAGTAAAGCCCGTGCCTGTCACAGCATATTGACTACAAACCATGGATCTATTGTACCAGCCAATCAGAAAACTTTGCAGCCCAGACAGCAACTGAATAACGCCAGAAATACTAGAACGCGATTGACAGAGACCTGGATGACCAATGAGTTTGTTTTGTACGTATTGTTTAATCCCTCTAATTTCTTTCAATAAACGAACTAATACTTCCGTGGCCTTTTCCTCGCGTCTCGGTAACGTGGGATATTACCCGCGAGTTCCAGTGCTTACGTGACGTCCGTGATTGCCAATCAGTATTCCACGTTCAGTGCGTACTACTGCTGCTATTACTAGAATTACTACAGGGTCCCAGGTACCGATGGACAAAACTCAGAGCGATTCAATACTATTATACGATTTATATGAGTAAACCAGAGTGAAACTGGACAGAATGACTTAAATTCTGATGAGCAACAATGGGTGTGAATTTCGGTACATTAAAAATTAGACAATCAGTCATTCCGGAGAGGTTAGTTAGACCTACTATTCCAACTCGGCGGCGGACAGCAATCGTCCATGAGCGAGGACTGGACAACGGTAATAACAACCCCGATGATGGACGACAATGTGTGTGGAATCGGACAGGTGAAGTAGTTTGTCGCGACCCAGACACGG